TGCCGTTCCAGCTCAATGGAGCACATTTCTCCCTAAACCATACAAGTGTCAGTATTGGGTTTGAAGCTGGTACAGTTACCATGTTGGGTTTCAATACATGAAAATTATTTATAATTCCGAAACATTTGTGAAGACAATCAGGTAGCCTAGCGGTTAGAGCGTTGGGCTAGGAACCAAAAGGTTGCTAGTTCGAATCTCCGACAAGATGAAAAATCTGTCGATCTGCCCTGGAGCAAGGATCTTAACCCTAATTGCTCCAGGGTTGGCGTCAATAATGGCTGATGCCTGACAGTGACCCTACTCTCAGGGGGAGTAAGGATATGCAAAAAAGTACATTTCCATCTCACATGAAACATGACAAAATTAAGCACCCAATATTTGCCTTTTAAATGTGATACTGTAGTATTTCACAATGTGTGACACAAACAGCTTTGAATTTAATTTTTGTCAATTTGATTGATTGATCGGTTGATTGATTTAATCATAAGGTAGTCATGATTGACATATGCACAGTACTTTTTGACCCCTGACCTTTCCATGAGTACCAACTCAGTGGCCTTGTGGTTAGAGTGTCATCCCTGAGATTGGAAGGTTGAACTGATGGATTGGGGGTAAGGCCCTGCCCTGTGATAGACAGCTCAGTATCCTGTCCAGGGGGTATACTTGTACATCCAGCTGCCTCAAGCTACAGAAACAGAAGAGAGGCTCCTGCCCTATGGGCTGTTCCGGCTCTGACAATGCTACTTCTTACTTATCATGAGTAAGGAGATGGATGTGTTTCCTGTTAGTTAACTGTAGCATGACTGCAATGTTGAGGCAGCAAGGAAGTGACAGGCTTTCGAGTTAATGCTGATTAATGTTACAATGGGATAACTTTACATTTCTCAAAGGATGATTTAACAGAAAAAGGATTTCCACAGAGGAAGTTCAGGATTCCACCCTTTGACTTTGCATTACATTGGGATTCCTCACAGGAAATTATGTCATATCAGTGTGACCTGCTTGCTGATTACTCACAACTTTGCACTTTAAGTCTAAGAGACAAGGCTGGCAGTGTAGTAGGTCGTTATACATAATTTATCTGTCACTCTTACCAATTGGATTGAAGTGTTGAGTTCACCTTGAGAAAGAACCAAGGTCATGTAGAAGTCATTTGATTTATTAAACGTCAAGAGTTGGAATGAAAATCATCTCAAAAGAGAGCATCACTGACAGCTAGTTGACCTTTGAAAGATTAATCTGCCACACTGTGTCTGGTGCTTGCCAAGGTTCATAATCAGTGCACAGCACAGAACTAGACCCTAGAATGGCAAAAAATAGAAGTCAATTTTGGCATTTGGTGCTGCTGGCACTGGTTCTGTTACCTTTCACTTTGGCCAGCTTCCTGGACTCCACAGTCCCTGTGCTCAGCACGTGACTGGCAGGCAGGCAGCGTAGTCTATGGGTCAGCATTGCAGAGTCAGTCAGTGAGGAAGTCTGGGAGTGAGGGAGTCTGGGAGTGAGGGAGTCTGGGAGCATAGGGAGGACACGCATTCAGTCTCACACGTAGGCCATGGCAAAGGGCAAAGGTCGGGGGGTCACACTAATCAACTTGTTGAACAGAGTGATTGAAAAGTATGGAATTCAGACATACCACCCTAAAGAGGGTCAGTTATGACGTCGGCTATGCTGCTCTTTCCAAACAACCTACAACCTCTCAGACTGGAATGGGGTGTAAGGTTATATGAGTGCAATCCATACTTTCGTTTGTGCTGTCATTACATTGTGTCCCTAAGTACCATGCGCGCACACACACACTCAAACACACACAAACTGCTGCTGCTGGCCTAATTTCTTTGTCTCCAAAGGGCCAGTGTGGGGTTCCAGTATGTGCAGTAGATCATCAGCATTACTTTAGAAGCATGCGACCATATCACCGCAGCCAGTGCTTATAGCTGACTCAGTTATGACTAGGGTTGCAAAGCTACCGGTAGTTTACCAAAGTTACCAAAACCTTTAGTAATTTTGGTAATTAACAGAAAATCGTATTTTTTTATTATTCATATATAGTATTCATTTTTTATATCAGTCCATATTGTCCATGAGTTTCTAGTAGATGGACAATATGGTTGAAGTGTAAATAGCCTAATTAATGAAAAAAGCATCTAATCAACAACTGCCACCAGTTTGACGGTGAAACATTGAGAACAAATACATACTGACATAGTAAAATAAATAAAAGTTTTTAAAAAATAATACGCTGAAACCCTCATATTAAACACCAATGGTATTCACTAAGTTGATGGGAGAATGTGTTATAGCTTTGTCATTCAATTTTGTGTTTGAAAATCATCTTATTTAATATACACTGAACAAAAATATAAACGCATCTTGTGAAGTGTCCCATGTTTCATGAGCTGAAATAAAAGATCCCAGAAATGTTCCATACTCACAAAAAGCTTATTTCTCTAAAATGTTGTGCACATTTGTTTACATTCCTGTTAGTGAGCAGTTCTCCTTTGCCAAGATAATCCATCCACCTGACAGGTGTGGCATATCACAAAGCTGATTAAACAGCATGATCATTACACAGGTGCACCTTGTGCTGGGGACAATAAAAGGTCACTCTAAAATGTGCATTTTTGTCACACAACACAATGCCACAGATGTCTCAAGTTTTGAGGGAGCGCGCAATTGGCATGCTGACTGCAGGAATGTCCACCAGAGCTGTTGCCAGAGAATTTAATGTTAATTTCTCTACCATAAGCCGCCTCCTACGTCGTTTTAGAGAATTTGGCAGTACGTCCAACCGGCCTCACAACCGCCGACCACGTGTATGGCGTCGTGTGGGCGAGCAGTTTGCTGATGTCAATGTTGTGAACAAGTGCCCGGCCTAATGCACCGCCCCATGTCGCAAGGATCTGTACACAATTCCTGGAAGCTGAAAATGTCCCAATTCTTCCATGGCCTGCATACTAACCAGACATGTCACCCATTAAGCATGTTTGGGATGCTCTGGATCGACATGCACGACAGCGTGTTCCAGTTCCCACCAATATCCAGCAACTTCACACAGCCATTGAAGAGGAGTGGGACAACATTCCACAGGCCACTATCAACAGCCTGATCAACTCTATGCAAAGGAGATGTGTCGCGCTGCATGAGGCAAATGGTGGTCACACCAGATACTGACTGGTTTTCTGATCCACGCCCTTACCTCTTTTTTTAAGGTATCTGTGACCAAGAGATGCATATCTGTATTCCCATTCATGTGAAATCCATAGATTAGGGCCTAATGCATTTATTTCAATTGACTGATTTCCTTATATGAACTGTAATTCAGTAAAATCGTTGAAATTTTCATGTTGCATTTATATTTTGGTTCAGTATATTTTACATGTGATAAGGCCACACATAGAGCCAGAGATAATTACAGACACCTGTACAAATCTGACCAAAAGGGCCACTAGATGTCTTGTGATAGATTACATAAATCCTTAAAAGATACCAAAATTCAGGTAGGTTACTGGTAAACGTAGAAAGTTTCCAGTAATACACCCTCCCTTTCCAACCCTAATTATGACACGGGGGATAACACAGACAGACACCATAAAGAGGTTATTTGAGAAGCCCCCAGGGTTGGTACGAGGCGGACATGGTCTGGTGGTGTATACACAGACACATCCTACGAGTCAGGGTGAAGACCCTGAGAGAGGGTTAGGGTTAGAGGGGGCATTTCCTCTTTGCCTCTTAAAAGGGATCTCTGTGAGTCCTCTTTGTCCTCCCAACAGCCAACATTGTTTTTTAAAATATCAATGGGCTACGAAAATCTTTTGTTATCTGAGTTTAAAAAAAATCTTGGTTGATAAGCCAACTTTCTATGTGTAGACCACCTAAAGGCTAAGCCCAAATAATTGGCAGAAATTGTACTCAACCTTGCAGAATCGTTTTGGGGAAGCAGCTGCGGAGACTACCAGTACTCAGCCTGACATGAGGCAGCCTTGGAGGGCTGTCTGTAATCTGTAGCATTTAACTGCGTCATACAGTCAGGCTGCAGTGAAAGAGCTCATTCAGCGTGATGTCCATATGACCTGCAGCGTTGGAACAACTCCATTGAACTGTCAGTGTGTAACACATAGGGTTTACCACTATAAATATGGAACAATTTGCACTAGGAGAGGTGCCTGCAAGACTTAACGCATGGAAAGGCCGGGAGTGTATTCATTCCACCGATTCTGTTGCTAAACGTTTCTTAAACGGAAGCAAACAGAACGAAACAGGGAGGGACTTACACTGAATTTGCCCAATACAAATTCTAGTTTTGCTCTGTTTGCTTCTGTTTGGTTCTTAAACGGTAAACGATTTCCATAATGAATACACCCCTGTTGAGCCCATTTTTGCAAGGCTGTCACTAGAAATACCACAAAACGCATACACTCTAAGAACACACATGAGCAAATATGCGTGCTGTTAATTACCAAAATTACTAAAGGTTTTGGTAACTTTGGTAAACTACCGGTAGCTTTGCAACCCTAGTCATAACTGAGTCAGCTATAAGCACTGGCTGCGGTGATATGGTCGCATGCTTCTAAAGTCATGCTGATGATCTACTGCACATACTGGAACCCCACACTGGCCCTTTGGAGACAAAGAAATTAGGCCAGCAGCAGCAGTTTGTGTGTGTTTGAGTGTGTGTGTGCGTGCATGGTACTTAGGGACACAATGTAATGACAGGACAAACGAAAGTATGGATTGCACTCATATAACCTTACACCCCATTCCAGTCTGAGAGGTTGTAGGTTGTTTGGAAAGAGCAGCATAGCCGACGTCATAACTGACCCTCTTTAGGGTGGTATGTCTGAATTCCATACTTTTCAATCACTCTGTTCAACAAGTTGATTAGTGTGACCCCCCGACCTTTGCCCTTTGCCATGGCCTACGTGTGAGTCCTCCCTATGCTCCCAGACTCCCTCACTCCCAGACTCCCTCACTCCCAGACTCCCTCACTGACTGACTCTGCAATGCTGACCCATAGACTACGCTGCCTGCCTGCCAGTCACGTGCTGAGCACAGGGACTGTGGAGTCCAGGAAGCTGGCCAAAGTGAAAGGTAACAGAACCAGTTCTTAAACTGTAAATTATTTCCATAATGAATACACCCCTGTTGAGCCCATTTTTACAAGGCTGTCACTAGAAATACCACAAAACGCATACACTCTAAGAACACACATGAGCAAATATGCGTGAAGTTCAGGAATACATAGACAGCAGATTTCCACAAAACACTGTTATGTGCTGTGTACAGTAGCATTTGGCGGGAATACTAGCCACTCTGTGTGTATCCAGCACCACATCTGATCTCATGTTTTGGATGACAGATCACAAATAACCTTGACCCATTGTGTTGCTTGCAGGTCAGGTGCACCAAGTAACACCCAATTCAAACAGTTGTTCTTCTACAATGTGAATTAAATAAACTTGACCTGAATAGAACAATACTTGTTTGTCTTGAGTGAAGAGGCAAGCAGTGGAGAACATAGATACAGTAGTGTGCTGAGAGGCCCGTACCACAGCAGCACGGTCAAAGCAGGAAAGAACAGTTCAGACGTCAGAGTATGGCTTTGACTTAGGGGTAACTCCTGTTACTGGCACTAGCATACATAGCTCCAAGCCTGGACACAGCTATTAATTCATTGGCACGATTGCTATCGGCTATATATATATATATATATATATATATATATATATATATATATATATATATATATATATATACACATACAGTGGGGAGAACAAGTAATTGATACACTGCCGATTTTGCAGGTTTTCCTACTTACAAAGCATGTAGAGGTCTGTAATTTGTATCATAGGTACACTTCAACTGTGAGAGATGGAATCTAAAACAAAAATCCAGAAAATCACATTGTATGATTTTTAAGTAATTAATTTGCATGACATAAGTATTTGATCACCTACCAACCAGTAAGAATTCCAGCTCTTACAGACCTGTTAGTTTTTCTTGAAGAAGCCCTCCTGTTCTCCACTCATTACCTGTATTAACTGCACCTGTTTGAACTCGTTACCTGTATAAAAGACACCTGTCCACACACTCAATCAAACAGACTCCAACCTCTCCACAATGGCCAAGACCAGAGAGCTGTGTAAGGACATAAGGGATAAAATTGTAGACCTGCACAAGGCTGGGATGGGCTACAGGACAATAGGCAAGCAGCTTGTTGAGAAGGCAACAACTGTTGGCGCAATTATTAGAAAATGGAAGAAGTTCAAGATGACGGTTAATCACCCTCGGTCTGGGGCTCCATGCAAGATCTCACCTCGTGGGGCATCAAAGATCATGAGGAAGGTGAGGGATCAGCCCAGAACTACACGGCAGGACCTGGTCAATGACCTGAAGAGAGCTGGGACCACAGTCTCAAAGAAAACCATTAGTAACACACTACGCTGTCATGGATTAAAATCCTGCAGCGCACGCAAGGTCCCCCTGCTCAAGCCAGCGCATGTCCAGGCCCGTCTGAAGTTTGCCAATGACCATCTGGATGATCCAGAGGAGGAATGGGAGAAGGTCATGTGGTCTGATGAGACAAAAATAGAGCTTTTTAGTCTAAACTCCACTCGCCGTGTTTGGAGGAAGAAGAAGGATGAGTACAACCCCAAGAACACCATCCCAACTGTGAAGCATGGAGGTGGAAACATCATTCTTTGGGGATGCTTTTCTGCAAAGGGGACAGGACGACTGCACCGTATTGAGGGGAGGATGGATGGGGCCATGTATCGCGAGATCTTGGCCAACAACCTCCTTCCCTCAGTAAGAGCATTGAAGATGGGTCGTGGCTGGGTCTTCCAGCATGACAACGACCCGAAACACACAGCCAGGGCAACTAAGGAGTGGCTCCGTAAGAAGCATCTCAAGGTCCTGGAGTGACCTAGCCAGTCTCCAGACCTGAACCCAATAGAACATCTTTGGAGGGAGCTGAAAGTCCGTATTGCCCAGCGACAGCCCCGAAACCTGAAGGATCTGGAGAAGGTCTGTATGGAGGAGTGGGCCAAAATCCCTGCTGCAGTGTGTGCAAACCTGGTCAAGACCTACAGGAAACGTATGATCTCTGTAATTGCAAACAAAGGTTTCTGTACCAAATATTACGTTCTGCTTTTCTGATGTATCAAATACTTATGTCATGCAATAAAATGCAAATTAATTACTTAAAAATCATACAATGTGATTTTCTGAATTTTTGTTTTAGATTCCGTCTCTCACAGTTGAAGTGTACCTATGATAAAGATTACAGACCTCTACATGCTTTGTAAGTAGGAAAACCTGCAAAATCGGCAGTGTATCAAATACTTGTTCTCCCCACTGTACAGTTGAAGTCGGAGGTTTACCTACACCTTAGCCAAATACATTTAAACTCAGTTTTTCACAATTCCTGACATTTAATCCTAGTAAAAATTCCCTGTTTTAGGTCAGTTAGGATCACTACTTTATTTTAAGAAAGTGAAATGTCAGAATAATTGTAGAGAGAATGATATTTTTCAGCTTTTATTTCTTTCATCACATTCCCAGTGGGTCAGAAGTTTACATACACTCAATTAGTATTTGGTAGCATTGCCTTTAAATTGTTTAACTTGGGTCAAACATTTCGGGTAGCCTTCCACAAGCTTCCCACAATAAGTTGGGTGAATTTTGGCCCATTCCTCCTGACAGAGCTGGTGTAACTGAGTCAGGTTTGTAGGCCTCCTTGCTCGCACACGCTTTTTCAGTTCTGCCCACACATTTTCTATAGGATTGAGGTCAGGGCTTTGTGATGGCCACTCCAATACCTTGACTTTGTTGTCCTTAAGCCATTTTGCCACAACTTTGGAATTATGCTTGGGGTCATTGTCCATTTGGAAGACACATTTGAGACCAAGCTTTAACTTCCTGACTGATGTCTTGAGATGTTGCTTCAATATATCCACATAATATTCCTTCCTCATGATGCCATCTATTTTGTGAAGTGCACCAGTCCCTCCTGCAGCAAAGCACCCCCGCAGCATGATGCTGCCACCCCCGTGCTTCACGGTTGGGATGGTGTTCTTCTGCTTGCATAACGATGGTCATTATGGCCAAACAGTTCTATTTTTGTTTCATCAGACCAGAGGACATTTCTCCAAAAAGTAAAATATTTGTCCCCATGTGCAGTTGCAAACCGTAGTCTGGTTTATTTATGGCTGTTTTGGAGCAGTGGCTTCTTCCTTGCTGAGCGGCCTTTCAGGTTATGTCGATATAGGACTCGTTTCACTGTCGATATAGATACTTTTGTACCTGTTTCCTCCAGCATCTGCACAAGGTCCTTTGCTGTTGTTCTAGGATTGATTTGCACTTTTCGCACCAAAGTACGTTCATCTCTAGGAGACAGAATGCGTCTCCTTCCTGAGCGGTATGACGGCTGCGTGGTCCCATGGTGTTTATACTTGCGTACTATTGTTTGTACAGATGAATGTGGTATCTTCAGGCGTTTAGAAATTGCTCTCAAGGATGAACCAGACTTGTGGAGGTCTACAATTGTTTTTCTTGGCTGATTTCTTTTGATTTTCCCATGATGTCAAGCAAAGAAGCACTGAGTTTGAAGGTAGGCCTTGAAATACATCCACAGGTACAACTCCAATTGACTCAAATGATGTCAATTAGCCTATCAGAAGCTTCTAAAGCCATGACATCATTTTCTGGAATTTTCCAAGCTGTTTAAAGGCACAGTCAACTAAGTGTATGTAAACTTCTGACCCACTGGAATTGTGAAACAGTGAATTATAAATGAAATAATCTGTCTGTAAACAATTGTTGGAAAAATTACTTGTGTTATGCACAAAGTAGATGTCCTAATCGACTTGCCAAAACTATAGTTTGTTAACAAGAAATGTGTGGAGTGGTTGAAAAACAAGTTTTAATGACTCCAACCTAAGTGTATGTAAACTTCTGACTTCAACTGTATATATATATATATATATATATATATGCACTACCAGTCAAAGGTTTTAGAACACCTACCCATTCAAGGGTTTTTCTTTATTTTTACTATTATTTTACATTGTAGAATAATAGTGAAGACATCAAAACTATGAAATAACAGATATGGAATCATGTAGTAACCAATTTTTTTTTAAACAAATCCAAATATATTTGAGATTTGAGATTCTTCAAATAGCCACCCTTTGCCTTGATGCCAGCTTTGCACAATCTTGGCACTCTCTCAACCAGCTTCATGAGGTAGTCACCTGTAATGCATTTCAATTAACAGGTGTCAAGTGCTATGATGAAACTGGCTCTCATGAGGACCGCCACAGGAAAGGAAGAACCAGAGTTAAATATGCTGCAGAGGATAAGTTCATTAGAGTTACCAGCCTCAGAAATTGCAGCCCAAATAAATGCTTCACAGAGTTCAAGTCACAGACATATCTCAACATCAACTGTTCAGAGGGGACTGTATGAAAAGGGCCTTCATGGTCGAATTGCTGCAAAGAAACCACTACTAAATAATAAGAAGAGACTTGCTTGAGCCAAGAAACACGAGCAATGGACATTAGACCGGTGGAAATTTGTCCTTTGGTCTGGAGTTCAAATTTGAGATTTTTGGTTCCAACCGCCATGTCTTTGTGAGACTTGGTGTGGGTGAACAGATGATCTGTAACACTCTGGCTCCGGGACTTTTGGATTTGAGCCAGGGTGTATTTGTTTTGTTGGGTATTTGTTGTGGGGTTGGTTGTAAGGGTGTATTCGGTTGGTTGTGTTTTGGGTGTGTTAATTGTGGTGTCGTGTGACTCCCAATCGGAGGTAACGAGTGTCAGCTGTCGGCTCGTTATCTCTGATTGGGAGCCATATTTAATCTGAATGTTTTCCTGTGGGCATTGTGGGTTTTTGTTCCAAGTTTAGTCTTTGTTACTGTTGGACTTCACTTTCGTCTTTTTGTTTTGTATTGACGTGCTTTTCTAATTAAAAGTCATCATGTTCACTCGCAACGCTGCGCCTTGGTCTCCTGTTATAGACGATCGTGACATGATCTCTGCATGTGTAGTTCCCACCGTAAAGCATGGAGGAGGAGGTGTTATGGTGTGGGGGTGCTTTGCTGGTGACACTGTCTGTGATTTATGTAGAATTCAAGGCACACTTAACCAGCATGGGTACCACAGCATTCTGCAGCGATACGCCATCCCATCTGATTTGTGGTCAATACTAGTGCCAGAGCATGATTGCATTTGACGCACCCAAATACAGACACATGCAGTCTATACGTAGTTAGTCAGCCTAGCTCAAATCCAGCCCTAGCCCTTACCCGTTAGATAACATGTTTTCCTTATTGTTTATGGGTTAAGCTACATATTGTTTAATTGGTTATGGCTGATAATGGTATGGAGTGTTGATAGTGTGTTTGCTGAAGCCCCTCTGTGTGTGTGTGTGTGTGTGTGTAGGACTCTTTGCCTTGCTGCTGATGCTGTTGGAGTGGACCAGACCAGGCCTACCGTCCCCCATGCGGCCGATCTGTGACCTGCGGGTCCTAAAACACTTCATTGAAGAGGCTAGAGACGCCCAAGCAGCCATGGTGAGACACACACCACATCCACGTCTGGTCTGGTCTGAGCCCGTATTAATAAAGCGTCTCAAAGTAGGAGTGTGTGTGTGTGTCCCCCTTTTCAATTCTTTATCATCTTAGGGCTCAGAGACACCAATAGCTTTTGCTGGCCGAGAGTACTCTGAACATAATTTGTGAACTGAGTGTGCACCGATTTTACACGTAGAATCGCATGAAAAATAACGGCAGTCAGACCTCTACAGCTGGTGGTCCCTAAAACACAGCATGAACGATAGGCAGACCAATGCTAGATCCACATTCGGTGCGATGTGTGCGAGCTTTAAGAGGAAAACTGATCCTTGTTCAGCACTCATATTCTGAGACCCTTTATGAATACGGGCCATGGCCATGAACTGGTGCTATTTACAGTGATAGTTACATTTCATCTCACACATCTCTCTCTTATTTTCTATCAATTTTTCCTTGCCCGGTTTCTTTTCTCCATCCATCCCCCGCTCCCTCCCTCAGCTGACTTGTAAAGAAGGACGTGGTCTTCCAGAGCCTGTCACTGTTCCCCAAACCAAAGTAGACTTCAACGTCTGGGAGAGGAAAAATGTAAGTAACAACAGTCTCCCTCTCTCTCTCTCTCGCTCTCTCTCCAAGAAGAAGAACCAGTCTACCTAAGAATGTGCTCTACCGTTATCAAATCAGCAATATTTCCTGTTCTCACATTGCAGAGCCACATTGAGAGAGTTTGGCCATTGAGGTTTCAGCCTAAATCACAAAGCTCTGGTCAACTGGTGAACTGTCTGTCTCTGTGTGTTTCTGTAGGCACTGGAGCAAGCTCAGGAGGTACAGTCTGGCCTGTGGCTGTTAAACCAGGCCATCAGCTCGCTACGAGCCTCTGTCACCAACACAGCGTTGCAAAGCCACATAGACAACAGCCTCATAAACATCTTCAGAATCGGAAAGGTGCTGCGCAGCCTCAACATCCAGGTAAGCCAGGTCAGGGTTCAAAGTACAAGGGCTCAAAGGGAGAGTGGGGTTTTGGCATGAGGACAGAGGACAGAGAGTGGTGAATATTGAGGTAAATTAACCAACAGGTGAACAGGTAATCAGTGCTACAATTATCTTTACTTCAATGTAGTCATGATTGAATGACTTGTGGAAATTGCTATTGCAGACAAGGATAGGAATGAATGGTCACTATCTTAAGTTCACTTAGGGCCCTGCCCAGATGCATTCCTAGAGACACACAAGGTTTAACCTGAATGACCCAGTTACTACTATTCCCACACAGTGGATGGCGCATGCTGCTGGTGGATGGTTATGCCATACTGACTGTACACTCTTCGAAAACAAAAGGTTATTCGGCTATCCCATAGGAGAACCCTTTAAAGAACCCTTTTTGGTTCCAGGTAGAACTATTTTGGGTTCCATGTAGAACCCTTTCCACAGAGGGTTCTATATGAAACCAAAAAGGGTTCTAACTGGAAGCAAAAAGGGTTATCCTATGGGGACAGCCAAAGAACCCTTTTGGAACCCTTTTTCTAAGATGTAAGGGACTGTTATGTCAGAGAAATTCGGAGAATGACAACAACCACACTCACATCCACCAGTGAGGTAGGTCACTGACAGGCAGGCAGAGTTTACTGGGTATACGCCAAGGCCATGGAAAGACAAAATGAGCTCCAGTCATTCCATCTGTGCATTCAGCCTCAAGGGCTACTGCAGAGCTTTCATAGTACAGTCGTGGTCAAACGTTTTGAGAATGACACAAATATTAATTTTCACAAAGTCTGCTGCCTCAGTTTTTATGATGGCATGTGACTCCAGAATGTTATGAAGAATGATCAGATGAATTGCAATTAATTGCAAAGTCCCTCTTTGCCATGAAAATGAACTTAATCCCCAAAAAACATTTCCACTGCATTTCAGCCCTGCCACAAAAGGACCAGCTGACATCATGTCAGTGATTCTCTCGTTAACACAGTTGAGAGTGTTGACGAGGACAAGGCTGGAGATACCTCTGTCATGCTGATTGAGTTAGAATAACAGACTGGAAGCTTTAAAAGGAGGGTGGTGCTTGAAATCATTGTTCTTCCTCTGTTAACCATGGTTACCTGAAAGGAAACACGTATCGTCATCATCGCTTTGCACAAAAAGGGCTTCACAGGCAAGGGTATTGCTGCTAATAAGATTGCACCTAAATCAACCATTTATCTGATCATCAAGAACTTCAAGGAGAGAGGTTCAATTGTTGTGAAGAAGGCTTCAGGGCGCCCAAGAAAGTCCAGCAAGCGCCAGGACCGTCTCCTAAAGTTGATTCAGCTGTGGGATCGGGGCACCACCAGTGCAGAGCTTGCTCAGGAATGGCAGCAGGCAGGTGTGAGTGCATCTGCACGCACAGTGAGGCGAAGACTTTTGGAGGATGGCCTGGTGTCAAGAAGGGCAGCGAGGAAGCCACTTTTCTCCAGGAAAAACATCAGGGACAGACTGATATTCTGCAAAAGGTACAGGGATTGGACTGCTGAGGACTGGGGTAAAGTCATTTTCTCTGATGAATCCCCTTTCCGATTGTTTGGGGCATCCGGAAAACACCTTGTCCGGAGAAGACAAGGTGAGCGCTACCGTCAGTCCTGTGTCATGCCAACAGTAAAGCATCCTCAGACCATTAATGTGTGGGGTTGCTTCTCAGCCAAGGGAGTGGGCTCACTCACAATTTTGCCTAAGAACACAGCCATGAATAAAGAATGGTACCAACACATCCTCCGAGAGCAACTTCTCCCAACCATCCAAGAACAGTTTGGTGACGAACAATGCCTTTTACAGCATGATGGAGCACCTTGCCATAAGGCAAAAGTGATAACTAAGTGGCTCGGGGAAAAAAACATCGACATTTTGGGTCCATGGCCAGGAAACTCCCCAGACCTTAATCCCATTGAGAACTTGTGGTCAATCCTCAAGAGGCGGGTGGACAAACAAAAACCCACAAATTCTGACAAACTCCAAGCATTGATTATGCAAGAATGGGCTGCCATCAGTCAGGATGTGGCCCAGAAGTTAATTGACAGAATACCAGGGTGGATTGCAGAGGTCTTGAAAAAGAAAGCAAATATTGACTCTTTGCATAAACTTAATGTAATTGTAAATAAAAGCCCTTGACACTTATGGAATGCTTGTAATTATACTTCAGAATACCATAGTAACATCTGACAAAAATATCTAAAAACACTGAAGCAGCTAACTTTGTGAAGACCAATACTTGCGTCATTCTCAAAACTTTGGACCACGACTGCATAGACATCAAACAAACAGCACCCTAGGCTTGTACCCTGGTGAAATACTGCTGATATGCATCATTATAGCATTTCCTTCATCATGGGGATATTTTTTATCTTTCCATCCAGTCTAGTGTCTAGTGTCTAGTGTCTAGTGGCAAGTGTAAAAAAAAGTTATATTGATTTCATGGTTGTGTTCATTAGGGTACACCGTAGCGAAATGTTGTAATACTGAAAAAGTTAAGATGGAACCTCCCCGTTTCACGCTGTTTCGGACTGTTTTCTTCTGGTTTTTGCCAAGTGAACAAAACCCAGTAGGCTACTCCATTTTGTGTATGCTGACTAGGCTTGGGCGATATACCGGGGTATTTAGACATACCGACGGTATGATATATTTTAGCCACCTCGCGGGGGCTCAGGAGGGTGCGCGTTAAGCCACTGCCTATAACTAAGTTAACTATCTAAGATGTGCCAAATAAATTATATCCAGCTCAGGGCTCCAGCTATGCATTTGGTTTGCTAACTTGCTAGCTAAGTGGCTAGATGGCAAGATCAAGGTTATTGATTACAGCAGAGACAATCAATCCCCTCCTGGATCAAGATCCATGTTGCCTAAATACATTTTGTGCGTATAAAAAAGAATATATATATTTTTTTTAAGAAACAGCGCCCCTTGTGTGCACATCCAGTAATACCATATACCCTGGTATGGTACAGAAACGATATGCCCAACCCTAATACTGACATATTTCTTCTCTTGTCTTCCTGTCAGGAGTACACTCCTCCAGCAGAGGGAGTGTCTGGAAGTGAGGAGACATGGAGGGTGTCATCTGCCTCAGAGCTACTCCAGGTCCATGTCAACTTCCTACGAGGCAAGGTGCAGCTCTTACTGTCCAACGCGCCCGTCTGCTACCAGGGCGGCAGCTGATTGGGGCTCTCCGAGGCAGGGCCGAGTTGATTGGAGCTTCCTGAGGCAGGGGGTGGGATCTGAGACTTTTGACCCTGCTTGTTGCCAGGTAGAACTAAAAGATGAGAGTGTGTGGACCAGATCCTCATAGGAGAGGATGAAGCTATATGGACAGAACAGTTCCCATTGGACTTTAAAAGGAAAAGAGCAGGTAGCGCCTTGAACATGGAGATGAGGGAAGTATGTGGTTAAGAAATCACACACCGAAAAGGAATGGGGCCCACAGAATACACTGCTCTACAGCTCTTTCATGGGCGCTCTTCAGCACTTTGTGTGTGTCGGTATGTCTTTTAGCATGAGTGTGATTCTGTGGCCCCTACTGCATGGACTGTGCGTTCTCATCGCCAAGCCTGCGCAATCGACGCAGATTGCACATGATGTCACCTTGTTGGAGTTCTACTCCACTGTCATTGTCTGACAGCAATGACTGCCTATCAAATACCAGAATGAGGGAGCCTGTACCACAAACTCTTCAAACATCACCTGCCTCGTTCTTAACACACAACACTTTTCCAACTGCTGTCTATCAGTGTCCTTATATGTATTTTATATTGCTTATGTAATTACTTATTTATAGAGATTTATATTTCTACTTTTAAGCTCCAGCTACTGTCATGACTATAGTATTATGAGAGATATACTGTAGGTAGGAGATTTTCCACAGTTGAGCTCTAACGGTTGACCATAATCACTGTATAACACCACTGAACATTGTCGTTGATATTTATACACGTCAATATCCAACTGTTCACTACCGTCTGTAACCTTCGTAGAATAAATTATCTGTGTGTTTGTATGTACTGTATGTGTGAGAGAGTATCTGTACGAATGAGTTTTATACAACTCTTATAACCCTATTGAATGGACTAGAGGGGGGAAGAAACAGAAGCAGAGGTTCAATCGGGTTGAAGGAGGAAAAGATTGAGCGGAAGAGCGAGAGGGGGCTTACGTGAGAACTCCGAAGCTATGCGGTGATTATCAGTGTGTCTGGCTTACGCAGACCAGCACTCAAATAGAGCTTCGACACAGATAGCAAGACTGCCAGGAAAAATATTGATTGGTTCTCGTGATGAACATCCTGCATGCCTTCTCTCTCTCCTTCATTCAAGCAGCAGCCAATCAACCGCAATCCTGGGAACCTTTTGAGTCACTGACGTTGGGGATTCTTCCAATTTCGGGATTAGTTTTGTTCTCCTGTGTTGTTTTGTTTCCCGTATTAAAAGTCTTGCAGTCACAGTGCAGATGTTTGTACATGTTTTTTCCTGTTTGTTTCAGATGTTTTGTCCCTTCTATTACAGTGGCATTTGGTATTTAAATACAAAATACTATTCTTAGATAAAAAGGATGGATGAAAACAAGGCAAGAGGAAGTTTGTCTGTGTGATAAGTGCCTCTCTTTTGAAGTCCAGATATATCTGGTGTGGAAAGAAAGCCTTGTTTTGGGGTTGAATGCTTAGCAACAGTTCAAATTAATTCAGGTGGAAAAAAACATGTATTGTTAAATTTCAAACTCAGACAAATCATGGTTCAATAGTTTCACATACCTAAAACGAATGCATTGCGCAAATGAAGCATTCTACTGCCACCTATAGGAAATTCACTGTTACTACACCCGCAAAAATGACAGGATGATAGTTTTTTTCATACTGGTCCCCCGTGGGAATCGAACCCACAACCCTGGTGTTGCAAGCGCCATGCTCTACCAACTGAGCTACACGGGGCCCAATAATAATAATGTTTTATTAAACAAACTCCAGTACTTTTCTCATTTTATGGCACATCAAAAAATTAGATTGAAAATATACAATAAATACTGTAAATACTGTATATACATGTTCAAATACTGAAGCTAAAAAACATCAATTTGGCCAAAGTCAAATCTAAAATAAATATTTATTGACTCTTCCACAGAGCTAGATTTCAATGTATGGCATCAGTATGTAAAACACATGATTGGCACGTCTCATGCCCAAACTTCATTTCCATGGTCAAATAATATCCAGTGTTTACACAAGAAACAAAAAATGTGTAACAAATACATTTTATGAAAGCTTCAAACCCACATCCTTTTCAGAGATTAAACATATTCCCACACGTGGAACAGGTGTATTGTAGCTTGCATGAGTTGGTCTTAGTGGGGCCTGTCCCATTTCCTATAGGAGTTTGTTTCAGGCAGTAAGGGATTGTCTGGAAATAACGATGCCATGAAACAACACAAACTCTTGATACTGACAAATACACTGCTCTGACTGACATCATGCATAACAAAATATGTAACAAAACTGAGAGAGATTCCAACAGATTTGGAATCAAACCAGTTCATAGATAATTCTCCCCACATCTAAACAACGCTGTCAGGTTTAGCCACTGCAGGTGGTTGGAATAGGTGTACCCCTGATACGACTAGACTCCATCAGTACGATATTACAGACACCATATCAATGGAGGTAGTTAGCCATATCCAAGCTAGGGACAATAGTGTTTTGGGTCACTGTGGGTCTGGGTAGAACACTTTGATATGAATAGCAGAGTTATTCCGGGTGCGCGTCATGGGTTCCCCCGCCTCGTCCGGGTCCTCAGGCTCCAGATCGTCCACCAGCTCCACTGTAGACGTGTTGGCTGCCAGCTGTAGCGCCCCCTGGCTACTGGCCTGGAGCTGCAGGGCGATGTTGATGGCCCTGTTGATGGCCAGGCCCAGACCATGGACACAGATCTCGCTGTGGCCTCCTCCTTCCAGCAGCTTTTGGCAGCGGGCCAGCTGGGCCCGGAAGTCTGTCTTCATGTTGACGTACACGTCATTGCGGCGCTTGGGCAGCTTCCTGGGGAGACGCTTGCGGAGGGTGTACTCTATGGGGTCCATCACCACCGCTGTGACTCTGCTGTCGGCTGGGGGCATGATGATGCCAGGTGGTGTCTGGGGGATGGAGGCGTAGATCAGGCTGCGTGGTTCTGCCATCACGAGTGAGTCAGTCAGAGACAGGAAAGGGTGGAATGGAGCACTGCAGTAAGGCAAAAACAACAGGAAAGGAAATGTCAATGACAAGATTGGACAATCAACACAATCACCTTTCATACAGCAAATATACTGTTTAGCCACACTACTGAAGGTTCAAATAATGTATATAATAGTAAAATAAAATAACTTAACACATAACTATGCCACTGACATCATGAAATACCACTACCGGGGGAGGTCTATATGGATCTACCCAGCTAGCCACACTCTCTGCGCAAAAATATGTCACTCCAAACCAATTTAGCTAACGTTTGGACAATATTAGAACATGAAAGCAATCAGACTGTACCTCTAACCACTGTTTGCAACCAAATAATTCAGATGTTTTGTCTATCGTGGTGGGGACTTTCAACCTTACTATGAACACAGAGGTGCCCCGGAAGTAATCGTTTGATGATGAAAACGTTCTTCTCCAACAGCGAATTATGAAAAGTAATTTTGCGCCATCCTTTGACTGCTCGAGAAATAAAATCAACGTTGCAGTCTGACCAGAGCGACTTTTCAAATCAAATGATTCGATTGAATAGCCGCGATAGTATCTGTTACAAACTTGCAGGCGCAGACCCTCATGTAAACATCCCCGTGCGGTATAGCCTAGGCAGCCGATAGTGCAGCAGATCTAACGCCCACTATCGGCTGCCTAGGCTACGTGCAGTGCAGTGCAGTCTTGGGTATGTGGATCGATTACCGACCCACTACAACCGCTTGCGAGCAATCAAAACATGAATGATTTGCTTCAACCAAATTGCTAATAATTACAAAAAGTTATACATGCTGTGCAAACGGGGTGGTTCATCTTAAAATAGTATACCGAAATACCTAACATTGGCCAACAACTACACGTAACACAAGTCACGTGGTGCGAGTACAACGGCCATCTTTCTCTGAAAACACAAACAACAAGAGTAGCGAGCCGACTAGACATCAACACGCAGCGACCGTAGGAGAGGGGGGAAATAATAAAAACAATATTTTTAATCATTCACAAAATATTGAATGAATGAAGATTGTACACAAAAATAACGTATTTCAAAAATAAACAACATTGCTTCAGAAAGGTAAGCTATGGTTGGCAGTGTCACATATAGCTATCGTAGCAAGCTAGTTTACTAACTGCACTCTTGATTTAGCTAGCAAATCACTTTAATTTGAGAAGGCACATGCAAACACGAGTCGAATGCCTACCTAAATTATCTTGTTTCAGAAGATAGGGCTTTGAACGAGCCGTAGTACAATGTTTTATCGGTTACCATTGCTGTTTTATTGGTTTGTTTTGCACAGGTTGTGGAAGGCCAAAGTAAGCAGCGGGGTAAAGTTAGAGTTGTAGATAGGGCGGCCGATTGACGAGAGGGGGAGCGCGATTAACACACGCGGACACTCCGCCCGTCTTTGAACCTTGAATGTAAACCCAAGGCCTTACACGGCTAGATATACACATTGTAAGTGTTATGTAATCGAAATATGATTAACTGGCGATATCAGTGTTCATTGATAAGTTACCCAGGTAGTTAACATTTTAGCTAAAAGCGATTGTCCCCGTGCATTTTCAGATGTGTTTTTGACTCGAGACTTGTTAGCGTTGCTACATGGCCCAACAGTAGCTTCCTAGTTGCTACTCAATTCCAAACAAGCGGGACGCTGTAGTAGTTAAATCAATTGATTGCCACAATGGTTAAACTTTAAGGCAAACTATTTATACATTATTTGACATTAAAGGCAGTAACAAGCTCATATTATCACTTTATTTTGCTGAAAATAACACCGGAATCCTGCTAGGTAATTGTCGTTACAGAACCGACCCATCGGACACGGGTTGGCCATGTTGTTTACTGTAGGCTAATATTGGGCGGATTCGATTCTTCTGAGCCGTGGGGCACTGGTATATGGCCCGTGACTTGAGCGGGCTAAATCGGTGTGGGAGGAGCACCCTCTTAACTCAAACAGTGAGGGGGTTCGATTAATTTGGAACCGGGCTGCCTCCTGGGCGTGAGCCAGGTGCCCCATTCAAAGCCCACGGCGAAATCGTCTCAAAACAAAACTGACGTAATTAAGCACGTGTAGTAATTAGTAGGATTCTGTGTTCATGTGTAAAAGTCCACCTATTCTCAGGAGAAGCCATAGAATTAGAATCACCGGATCAGATTGCCACGGTCTGAGGGGTTTAGCACATTCTATGAATTCTAATTCTATTGGGGCAGCAACGCAAGCCCATAGCCTAGGTGTCTGACTGTTGGGTGTCTGTTTTTAAGGCAAAGCCTGGGGTTGGCATTCTGTTCCTTAGATATTGTTGTTGCCATGGTGTTTGCAGGTGCTGTCACCAACAGGTGCAGTTTTTTTGTAAGAGGGTGACATCATCATAATTGAATTAGTCACTGGGGCACACATTCTATGAAAATTGAACCTTTTTGACTAAGTTATTATTGATGGCTAAGGTCTTGCGCTGTTGATTATTAATTTGGAACACACAGTTGCATGCTCAGGGTGGTAGGCTAGAATACAGTAGCTGTCATATTCTAAGGAAAAATAAATACTGAACATTCCAAATGCTTAAAGAAGTTTATCAATCAACACAACCTAAGCATTCCAAGCTGCTTTAAAAAGAATGTGTTAAGGCGACACAAAAATCTAATTACATAGATAGCCTTGGCTAACAGAAGATAGGCTGTCTGCCAAACAGTGACTGGGTGTGTTTTTCACTCTTCTTACTCTTGTCTCTGTCTGTGTGTGTTCCATTTATTTTGTCTACACTTGCTATCATTCACTTATCTTTATTTTTCTTGTTATTTTGCAGCAGTTTGAAGGGAGGTGGTCAGGAATCAAAGGTGTCCTCACCTGGAGAGTCTTGGTCAAGCCACGTTTCAGTCGGAGAGAGAACGACGGAAGGAGAGAAAAGAGAGGGAGAGGAGGAGGGAGAGAGTCGCATCAGCTCCTGGCAGCTGTTCCAGCAGCCTGTTTTCTTCCCTGCGTTTAGATTTAAATCGAGAAGGATCTTTATTTTTTAAAGTGTGATATTACTGCTGTTGTCCTAATCATTATTGTTACTATCGACAGTGTTTTATTTAGTTTGTTTCGTCGTTATTGACTTGACAGTTTATTCCAATTTGTTTGTTCTTGTTTTTTATTTGTACTACTTTTTTTCGGCTGTGAGCAGAAGCTTCTTCCAAACTGTTCTCTTACCCGAACCAGCACTCTATCCCCTATACACACTTGAAACAGGCAGCTATTCTCTATCTCTATGTGTGTGTTTTGGGGAGCTCTGTGATCACAGCTAAATAAGCACCACTCAGCCTTCTCACCTAAGCCTAACTAAGCCAGTCCTAGCCTGGTCCAGCCTTGTCCAGCCTGGTCCGCTCTTCTGGACAGGGTAAGAGCAAAGTTTGTGTATGGGGGGGGGGGTCCATGTCTGGAAAATTGTACGCCTAGTTGGTGTGTTTATACTGCCTGTATGCATGTGTGCGCACGTGTTTGTGGGTGCGAGCAAGCATGCATGCTGTGTGTTAGTTGGTGTGTGTGTGTGTCACTGACAGATGCATCCTTTTGTACTTTTCTCCAGATACTCAGCTCTGTAAAGACATAAGGAATATGACTGCTGAGACACTTAACTTCGGCCCCGAATGGTAACTCCTTCTACCTCTCTTCCTCTCCCTCACCGCTCTTGCTACTCCTCCTTCCCTTACCGTCCTCTTCTTCTTCTATTCTGTCCATTTCCTCTCCTCCTCTCCTGGGTGCTGAGCCCTCAGTAAATGTTTGTGTAGAGATTAATGTGAGGAGGGAGGGAGGGAGACGTAGGTCTTGGATTGGTAGGCGGCCAGTGGCTGGTCAACTCTAATAGGGGGCCAGTATGAAAAATGTATGCATTCTCTAATTGTAAGTCGCTCTGGATAAGAGCGTCTACTAAATGACCAAAATGTCAATTGGATCACTATAAAAAATGGACTGTGACTGCTGGCTGCTGTGCCGTGTGCGTCTTGGTGCTCCGCCAACCACCAGATCACTCCTCCCACCTCTGTAAAGTTTGCATGCGGTGGCGCACACATTTTCGTCCATGCCTTTTTCCACTTTCCTTCCCTTTTCTTAAAAAGTACTGGCTGGATATGGTGTGGTGGCTTTGTATGCCGAAAGTCTGTAAAATAGAGCTATTGTTTGTGAAACAGCAGGTGTTAGAATCTAGCCCGTTTAAGACATTCTTCAATGAAATGCTCAGATTGTAAATGAGGTTACTATTATACGTTTGTGCTGTTTGCCAAGAAGTGAGTTGGGATGTAATCTTGAGTGTGAATGTGTGTGTTGACTGTTCCCCCCCACCACCCACCCAGGCTCCGTGCACTATCCAGTGGGGGGAGTGTGACGTCCCCCCCGCCTTCTCCCGCCATGCCAAAGTACAAGCTGGCCGAGTATCGCTACGGCCGAGAGGAGATGTTAGCACTTTATATCAAAGAGAACAAGGTGAGCAGGAGGAAGCCACACCGTGCTCAGTTTCATTAAATGGGTGCTTACAAAGGTCAAGATGAAGTCTTAGGACTTCTGCTGCTGTTGCTACTGTAGCTCAATTGGTAGAGCATGGCGCTTGCAACGCCAGGGTTGTGGGTTCGATTCCCACGGGGGGCCAGTATGAAAATGTATGCACTCACTAACTGTAAGTCGCTCTGGATAAGAGCGTCTGCTAAATGACTAAAATGTAAATGTACTACTATACTACTGTTACTACTACTGTTACTACTACTACTACTACTACTACTACTACTGCTGCTGCTGCTGTTGTTGTTGCTACTGCTGTGCTACTACTGTTACTGCTACTACTACTGCTACTGTTGCTACTACTACTACTAGTGCTGTTGCTACTACTACTACAAGTGCTGCTGCTACTGATAATACTACTAGTGCTGCTGCTACTGATACTACTACTAGTGCTGCTGCTACTGATACTACTACTACTACTAATAGTGCTGCTACTACGACTATGGCTGCTGTACTACTGCTGCTAGTGCTGCTGCTGCTACTACTACTAGTGCTGCTGCTACTACTACTACTAGTGCTGCTGCTACTACTACTACTACTAGGCTGCTGCTACTACTAGCTGTCCTCTGTAGCTCAGCTGTATCACACTGGCTGTAACTACAAGTAGTGCGTATCGCTCCGGACCTACCATACTACAAATGCTTGCTACGCATGACTGTAGTCTGCTTTGCTATAAAGCGTGCTGCTATGGCATATACTATTGCTCTATTATTGACTACTACTTAACTAGTGCTGCTGCTACTACTACTACTAGTGCTTGCTGCTGCTGTACTACTACTAGTGCTGCCTGCATACTACTAGTGCTGCTGCTACTACACTACTAGTGCTGCTGCTACTACTACTAGTGCTGCTGACTACTACTACTACTGTACTACTGCTACTACTAGTGCTGCTGCTACTACTACTACTACTACTGCTACTACTAGTGCTGCTGCTACTACTACTAGTGCTAGTCTGTACTACTACTACTAGTCTACTACTACTACTAGTGCTGCTGTACTACTACTAGTGCTGACTTACTACTGCTACTATCTAGTGCTGCTACTACTACTAGCTACTACTAGCTGCTACTACTACTAGTGCTGCTGCTACTACTACACTAGTGCTAGTGCTGCTGCTACTACTACTATCTACTACTACTACTACTACTGCTACTACTCTAACTACTGCTACTACTAGTGCTGCTGCTACTACTAATTGCTGCTACTACTCTAGTGCTGCTGCTACTACTACTACTAGTGCTAGTCTGTACTACTACTTATACTACTACTAGTGCTGCTGCTACTAACTACTACTAGTTGCTGCTGCTACTAGTGTGCTGACTACTACTACTAGTGCTGACTGCTACTACTAGTGCTGCTAGTGCTACTGCTACTAGCTACTACTCACTAGTGCTGCTACTACTGACTCTACTACTACTAGTGCTGCTGCTACTACACTACTATCAGTGCTGCTGTTTACTACTACTACATACTACTAGTCTGCTGCTACTAGCTACTACTACTATACTACTACTAGTGCTGTGCTACTACTACTAGTGCTGCTGCTCTACTACTACATACTACTTGCTACTACTAGTGCTGCTGCTACTACTATACACTAGTGCTATGTGCTTGCTGCTGCTATCTACTAGGTAGCTTGTTTGCTGCTACTACTACTAACATACTAGTGCTGCTGCTACTACTACTACTACTGCTGTCTACTACTACTACTACTACTGCTAGTGCTGCTGCTCTACTACTATTGCTGCTACTCTACTATTACTGCTAGTTGTGCTTGCTACTACTACTACTAGCTGCTATTTGCTTGCTGCTGCTACTACTACTATATAGTGTGCTGCTGCTACTTACTACTAGTGCTGCTGCTACTACTACTATGCTGGCTACTCACTAGGCTGACACTACTAGTGCTACGCTGGCTCTCTACTATGTGCTGCTTACTTCTACACTCTACGCTACTACTAGTTTCTACTACTAATGCTGCTGCTACTACTCTGCTTGCTGTGCGGTACTTCTACTACTGTTGCTACTACTGCACTACTACTAGCTGCTACTCCTGCTGTTGTACTACTACTAGTACTACTGCTTCTTGTTACTACTGCTATTAGGGCGGCAGGTAGCTTAGCGGTTAGAGCATTGGGCCTGTAACCGAAAGGTAGCTGGTTCGAATACTTGAGCCAACAAGGTTAAAAGTATGTCGATGTGCCCTTGAGCAAGGCACTTAACCCTAAATAACACCAGGGCGCTGTACTACTATGGCTGACCCTGTAAAACAACACATTTCACTGCACCTATCTGGTGTATCTTCCCTTTTTTTTTTGCTACTGCTGTTATTACTATTGCTGCTGCTGTTACTACTACTGCTGCTACTGCTACTACTTATACTACTGCTACTAATACTACTTATGCATTGAAGTCCAGGAGTAGGCTTAACCTGGGTCCCTGCAACCTGCCGTAATTGTGAAATGACATGTAATAGTGGTATGACTGATTCATGTGAGGTTATGCTATAGTTGTGAAGTGTCTGTGTTGTTAACTTCCCCATATTAAGTAGAGTTTGTTTACATTGTGTTGCTGTTGTGTTCTCTGTTGTTGTGTCCAGGCCCCAGAGGACATGCAGGATAAGGAGTTTGCTTCTATTCTGCAAGATGAGCCCATGCAGCCGCTGGCACTGGAGCCACTCACTGAGGAGGAGCAGGTCAGACGGACACACACACACACACACACACACACCTGTCTCAAACTGTTGGTCGTACAAGCTGCCAAACACACAAATCTATATTTTTCAGTCTGAGCGACATATACTTGATCACACCCAACTGACATTCCCTACATTCTTTCATTCTCCTTTCAGAGGAACTTCTCCATGTCTGTGAACAGTGTGGCTGTGCTGAGGCTCATGGGTAAAGGAGGGGGAGTTGCCCCAGCGGGCGTGGCCCGAGGCAGAGGCACCACGCGAGGAGGAGGCCGAGGTGAGACACTATCAATAATTGCTCCCTAGACACTGATCTATGAACAGTTCTGCGTTTTGCCACTAATGATTTAAGGTTAGGATTTATCAATCAAATGAATTTATAAACCCCTTTTTACATCAGCAGATGTCACAGTGTGCTTATACAGAAACCCAGCCTAAAACCCCAAACAGCAAGCAATGCAGATGTAGAAGCATAGGAGGGTAAGCTGATCCTAGATCTGTGCCTAAGGGCAACTTTTACCCAGAGCACATGATCACAGGAGCAATGAGCTCCAGCAATGAGCTCAAGCCATAACAATTTCAGTCTAGGGAACGGAAAAGCCAGACTTATTTAAGGCAGACTTTTGCTTGTGTGACCTCATCTGATAACTGTGATTCTTCTTGGACCTGTCCAAATAGTCCATTTGTCAGGACACACCTGTCTTGGACTGCCTTGCTTATGTACTTTACCTTGTTAAACTCTCAGTACTTACAGTACTGTATTCAGACCCCTTGACCTTTTCCTCATTTTGTTACATTACAGCCTTTCTAAAAAGGATAAATAAATTAAAATCCTCATCAATCTACACACAATACCCCATAATGACAAAGCGAAAACAGGTTTTTAGAATTTTTTGCAAATTTATATTTAAAAAAGAATATACCTTATTTACATAAGTATTCAGACCCTTTGCTGTGAGACTCAAAATTGAGCTCAGGTGCATCCTGTTTCCATTGATCATCCTTGAGATGTTTCTACAACTTGATTGGAGTCCACCTGTGGTAAATTCAATTGATTGAACATGATTTGGAAAGGCACACACCTGTCTATATAAGGTCCCACAGTTGACAGTGCATCTCAGAGCAAAAACCAAGTCACGACGTCGAAGGAATTGACCGTAGAGCTCCGAGACAGGATTGTGTTGAGGCACAGATCTGGGGAAGGGTACCAAAAAATGTCTGCAGCTTTGAAGGTCCCCAAGAACACAGTGGCCTCCATCATTCTTAAATGGAAGAAGTTTGGAACCACCAAGACTCTTCCTAGAGCTGGCAGCTGGCAAAACTGACCAATCTGGGGAGAAGGGCCTTGGTCAGGGAGGTGACCAAGAACCCAATGGTCACTCTGACAGAGCTCCAGAGTTCCTCTGTGGAGATGGGAGAACCTTCCAGAAGGACAACCATCTCTGCAGCACGCCACCAATCAGGCCTTTATGTGGCCAGACGGAAGCCCACACCTCAGTAAAAGGCACATGAAAGCCCGCTTGGAGTTTGCCAAAAGGCACCTAAAGGACTCTCAGACCATGAAAAACAAGATTCTCTGGTCTGATGAAACCAACATTGAACTCTTTGGCCAGAATGCCAAGCGTCAAGTCTGGAGGAAACCTGGCCACCATCCCTACGATGAAGCATGGTGGTGGCAGCATCATGCTGTGGGGATGTTTTTCAGGGAGTGGGAGTCTAGTCAGGACCGAGGGAAATATGAACGGAGCAAAGTACAGAGAGATCCTTAATGAAAACCTGCTCCAGAGCACTCAGGACCTCAGACTGGGGCGAGGTTCACCTTCCAACAGGACAACAACCCTAAGCCCACAGCCAAGACAACACAGGAGTGGCTTCGGGACAAGTCTCTGAATGTCCTAAGTGGCCCAGCCAGAGCCCGGACTTGAACCCGATCGAACATCTCTGGAAATAGCTGTGCAGCGACACTCCCAATCCAACCTGACAGAGCTTGAGAGGATCTGCAGAGAAGAATGGGAGAAACCGGTGTGCCAAGCTTGTAGTGTCATACCCAAGAAGACTCGAGGCTGTAATCACTGCCAAAGGTGCTTCAACAAAGTACTGAGTAAAGGGTCTGAATACTTATGTATATGTGATATTTAAGTTTTTAAAATAATAATCATTTCAGGGTTTTTCTTTATTTTTACTTTTTTATACATTTTAGAATTAATAGTGAAGACATCAAACTATGAAATAACACATGGAATCGTGTAGTAACCAAAAAACTGTTAAACAAATATAAATATATTTGAGATTTGAGATTCTTCAAATAGCCACCCTTTGCCTTGATGCCAGCTTTGCACACTCTTGGCATTCTCTCAACCAGCTTCATGAGGTAGTCACCTGGAATGCATTTCAATTAACAGATGTGCCTTGTTAAAAGTTAACTTGTGGAATTTCTTTCCTTCTTAATGCGTTTGAGCCAATCAGTTGTGTTGTGACAAATTAGGTGTGGTATACAGAAGATAGCCCTATTTGGTAAAAGACCAAGTCCATATTATGGCAAGAACAGCTCAAATAAGCAAAGAGAAACGACAGTCCATTACTTTAAGACATGAAGGTCAGTCAATACGGAACATTTCAAGAACTTTGAAAGTTTCTTCAAGTGCAGTCGCAACAACCATCAAGCGCTATGATGAAACTGGCTCTCATGAGGACCGCCTACAGGAATAGAAGACCCAGAGTTACCTCTGCTGCAGAGGATAAGTTGATTAGAGTTACCAGCCTCAGAAATTGCAACCCAAATAAATGCTTCACAGAGTTCAAGTAACGGACACATCTCAACATCAACTGTTCAGAGGAGACTGTGTGAATCAGGCCTTCATGGTCGAATTGCTGCAAAGAAACCACTACTAAATAATAAGAAGAGACTTGCTTGGGCCAAGAAACACGAGCAATGGACATTAGACCGGTGGAAATTTGTTCTTTGGTCTGGAGTCCAAATTGGAGATTTTTGGTTCCAACCACCGTGTCTTTGTGAGACGCGGTGTGGGTGAACAGATGATCTCTGCATGTGTGGTTCCCACCGTAAAGCATGGAGAAGGAGGTGTTATGGTGTGGGGGTGCTTTGCTGGTGACACTGTCTTATTTATTTAGAATTCAAGGCACACTTAACCAACATGGCTACCACAGCATTCTGCAGCGATACGCCATCCCATCTGGTTTGGGCTTAGTGGGACTATCATTTGTTTTTCAACTGGACAATGACCCAACACACCTCCAGGCTGTGTAAGGGCTATTTTCCCAAGAAGGAGAGTGATGGAGTGCTGCATCAGATGACCTGGGCTCCACAATCCCCCGACCTCATCCCAATTGAGATGGTTTGGGATGAGTCGGACGGCAGAGTGAAGGAAAAGCAGCCAACAAGTGCTCAGCATATGTGGGAACTCCTTCAAGGCTGTTGGAAAAGCTTTCCAGGTGAAGCTTGTTGAGAGAGTGCCAAGAGTGTGCAAAGCTGTCATCAAGGCAAAGGGTGGCTATAAAATATATTTTGATTTGTTTAACACTTTTTATTTGGTTACTACATGATTCCAGTACTTATGTACTATACCTTGTTAAACGCACAGTACTTATGAATGTGCACCGTGCTTACACAGCGTTGTTTGCATATGAATCTCAAGTGTGTCCGGTCTGGTGCAGTGGAGGAAATGACAGTTGGAGTGTTTGTGTGATTTTCATTGTGTGTGTGTTCTTGTTCCAGGGCGAGGTCGTGGAGAGAGTGGAGGGTTCTACCAAAGAAGTATTGAGGACGGAGAGGTAGGCTTCGGCCGTGGAGCCAGAGAGATGCACCGCAGCCAGAGCTGGGATGACAGGTGAAAAACACACATTATTGCTTTTAAGTTTGAGTTAGTGAGGCTTGACAAATATATTTGTAATTAAACACTGTAGAGAAGTGGTTTCCAACTTGTGGTCTGCGAACCATCCGCGAGGGTACTTCAGGTGGTCCGCAAATTTCTTTAAATGTATTATGTTTCTTAGTTTAAAAAAAAGAAAGAAAATAAAAAAAGTATTATAAGGAAATGTACATTACTTTTCACACTGCAAATAGATTCATAATAATATACCTTTAATTTATTACATTCACTGCTAAAATGGACTCAATTTGACCGCCAAGATATTTAATAATAATAATACAAATTACCCACAACTCGGCGAATGGTGGTCCTCAAGCTTTTGATGTTGATTTGGTGGTCCCCGGAACGGAAAAGGAACCGCTTCTGTAGAGGCAAGCGAGTCGATCCATTCGTCATTCCTGATCTCTCTTTCCTCCCTTCTCTCCCTCCCTCTTTCCCCAGGGGCGAGAGGCGATTTGAGAAGCCTGTGCGTGCCAGGGAGGGGGTACGTGTTGGCTTCGAGGAGGCGACCGGTGTCCCAGTGCCTGGGGTACCGAGGAAGGACTACACACGGTCGGACAGTGAGAACTGGCGTACCCTCCGAGAGGAGCAGGAGGAAGAGGAGGGGGCCGACCCCGGGGGCAGCTGGAGACTGGCCGGAGCACGGAGATTAGATGGTAGGAAACTATGCAAACACACACATTATTTCCCATGTCAGTTTAGCTGTAAGAGAAACTGTAGATTTTGCTGATTGTATCACTCATGGAATTCTCCTCCTAATAATAATAATAATAATAATAATAATAATAATAATCCTCCTCTCCCCCTCCCTCTCTCTCTCTCTCCCTCCTCCTTCTCTCAGACGGAGGTCCAAGGTCAGCAGGCTGGCGGGAGCACGACTGTCTGGTTGAGGGGCGTCGCAGGAAGTTTGAGTTTGACTTCAGCGGGGGTCGCAGGCGGGCCGGGAGCGAGGGGTTAGAGGACGACAGAGACGGACTGCCTGAGTGGTGCACTGATGAAGAGGAAGGAGAGATGGGCACCTTTGACGCTTCTGGGGCCTTCCTCCCCATATCCAAGGTAGTGTGTGTTAGTGTTGGTATGTGTGTTAAGTGGTGGTCCTCTGTAGCTCAGCTGGTAGAGCACGGCGCTTGTAACGCCAGGGTAGTGGGTTCGATCCCCGGGACCACCCATACACAAAAATGTCGCTTTGGATAAAAGCGTCTGCTAAATGGCATATTATTATATTATATAAGTGCGTGCGTGCAAGGAGGTTGTCTACAAATATGCCCGTGTTTCTGTGTCTCAGTCATCTAGTTATTCTGTGAATTCAGTTGAATATTCAGAAAATCGTAACTCTTACTCTCTCCGTGTCTTTCTGTCTTCGATCTCTCTCTTGCGGAAGGGTGGAAAGGAGGAGGAATTTGACTTCCAGGGAATAGAAGAGGAGGAAGAAGAGGGGGAGAGTGTTTCTGACATGGAAAGGATCATGAATGGAGGACAGAGAGGTGAGGGGAACTGCACTCTTTAATTGATATCTTTACCTCAATCACCTCGTGGTCACTCAAGGTTTACGAGTGTTTTTCATATTGTCTATCCTTAATAAAAAATAAATAGTAATAAACATATTTACTGTCCTTTTTCTTTCCTCATTATCTCTCTCTCCTCTCTCTCTCTCCAGTAGATGTAAAGGAATCCGCTGGGACTAGTTGCTCTTCCTCCTCTTCCTCCTCCTCCTCCTCTCCCCCTGGCCCGCTCTCTGCCCCTCCAGCTCTGGGCCTCAACCCCCCCATGCCCCAGCTGTCCCTCACCGTGGCTGAGCTGGAGGCCTCTCAGATGGCCAACAGCCACCCTGTTCCTGTCCCTGTCCCTGTCAAGGCCAGCAAGATGCCAAGTGAAGGTACTCCATACACACTGTGATAGAAAAAGAGACTGTCATAAATACTATCTCTAATAAAATGTAAATTAAGTATTTATTTTAGCAGTACATGAAAAAACAAAAACCATACAGATGCATAAATAAACCGTGAGAACATGAAGCGCTCTTCACCGACATGCTCTGATTTTGTTGTTGTAGTTCTCGAGGCCTCTCCAGCAGGGTGCTCCACCACCCAACAGAGCCCTAGCACCTCCTCCAGTCTGCCTTCACCCCCTCCCTCCTCCTCTGCTGCTAACCACCTCCCCCTGCTACCGGGGGGCGACACCGAGGACGACGAGGGCATGAAACACCTGCAACAGGTAAGAACAGTACAAGTCTGGGGGCCGGTTTCCAGGACCCATTTTAAGCCTAGCTCTGGACCTCTTTGGTTTGGTGTAAGACAGTTGATGGTCTGAAACACTCCAGTCTCATTATGTAGTAATATTTCTGGTTAAGGAGCTAGTCGTTTTGGAAGAACCATTGGTAAGAGTTGTAGATGTTTAATGAACCATCCTGTGTGCAGGAGGCAGAGAAGATGGTGGCGTCCCTGCAGGACACGTCTTTAGAGGAGGAGAGCTTCACTCAGACGCTGCAGGACGGCAGAAACACAGCGGCAGCACTACCACTCTCCCACGACGCTGCCATGAAGTGGTTCTACAAGGACCCCCAGGCAGAGATCCAGGGTAAACACACACTGTTGCAACATACATTGATACATAGGCCTACATGTGGGCAGACGCAAACAATCACATGTACACGTACAAAACCACACACAGGAAATCGCACATCCCTAGGCAACAAGTGGCACCTCTCAACTCTGCTACCTCTTCTCACCCTCTTTCCCCTCACATCCTCCTCCCTCTCGCCCTCTTTTCTGCTTTACCTTCACTTTCTTTTTTTGTCACTTCTCTCCCCATCCTCCCCCTACCTCTACTCTCTCCCCCCTCCTCTCCCCACAGGTCCATTCACCACCCTGGAGATGTGTGAGTGGTTCCAGGCGGGCTACTTCTCCATGTCTCTGCTGGTGAAGAGGGGCTGTGACGAGGGCTTCCAGCCGCTGGGTGACGTCATCAAGATGTGGGGACGTGTGCCTTTCGCACCCGGGCCCTCCCCGCCGCCCCTGCTGGTGAGGCCTCCACCACCACGCCCTCAGCTGCTGCCGCCCCGGGGGTCTGCTGTGAGTGAAAGAGCTGTGGATAGGGATGGGGTGGTGGAGGGATGGGAGGAGGGTATGTGGAGTTTGCTGAAGGAGAAACATAATGTTGTGGTTTATGGAGTGATTGTGGAATGTAAACTAGTGAAGATTTACTGCCTTGAATGCTATAACTTGTTTGTTTATTTTTAGAGCAGTGCTATTATAATAATAATCGAAGCCCTTCAGCAGACTCTTTTATCCAAAGCGACTTAGTCATGCTTTCCGCAATGCTCTAGTGCCCTCGAACTCAACTCGGAATTGTAGGGTTTTCTCTAGCTGTGTTGTATGAGATTACTGTGTGCTTGCGTACGTGCTTGTGTTTTTAATTCTGATCTGTGTATGCAGCTCCTACGTGTGTGTGATTTTCCCCTGAATATATCCTGTGTGTTCCTTACCGTCTCCTCTCAGGGTAACATGGATCAGGACCGTCTGAAGAAGCAGCAGCAACAGGACCTGGCAGCAGCAACCCTCTATCAACAGCTCCAGCAGCAGCAGCAGCTATTCCAGCTCATCAGCAGGTGTGTGGGATCAACATGCACTACATAGGAAACAATTACACATGACGTTTGTGTGGAAGATGGAATTTGAAACTAAGCAAAGTGGAGCCACTCAAAAAAATATGTGAAAATATTTGAGTGAGAGCTGGGTTGACTTATGCACACAGGAAAGTCTCCCCCGTCTTTTATCTGCATTTTTCTAGAAGTTTCCATGTCTTGTAAGTCTCTTGCTTTTCTGTCCTAGGTGCGGAGAGCAGGGTATCTTGCCTTCGGTGAACAGGTCGATGTCAGTGCCAGATACAGGGTCCATGTGGGACATGCATACCTCAGCTTCACAGCAATCAGGTACACACACACACACACACACACACACACACACACACACACACACATATGCTACAGTATAGTGTGGAATGACTCTGCGACACTCTTCTGTCCAATCAGGCGGTGAAGCCAGTTTATGGGACTTAACAATGAATTCTTCAACTCAGGGTCCAACTCTCGAACAGCTTCAGAAGGTGAGTGATGGCGCCCTCTGGCTGTGGGAATCTAGTAGCGCATCTCCATGCGCTTGTCAAAATGGAAAAACTATTTCTAGTTGAGTAGAACCCATAAGGACAGTACAGCCCATAACATCCCTTTTGCCACTTTTCATTTTGAACTTTGTCTTTGAAAATAAAGTAATCTGTATTCCACCCTGACCCCCTATGACCTTTGCCCCCTGACCCCTGGGCAGCTCCAGCTGGAGAGGAGAGAAGCTGAACTCAGGGCGAAGCGTGAGGAGGAGGAACAGCGCAAGAGGAGGGAAGAGAAGAGGAGGCAGCAGGAGGAGCAGAAGAGGAGGGAGGAGGAGGAGATCTTCAGACGCAAACAGGTGAGAGAGACAGAGGAGGAGATTTACTTTATCTAGCTCTATCTCACAAGGGGCAATTGTGAGGGGCGGTAGTTTGATTGCCGTCTCAGCGAGTGCTGGCTGTGTGTCTCTGACGTGTGTGTTACCATCTTATGTTGTACCATACCCTTATACTGTGTGTGTCTCCCTCCAGTGTCGCCAGCAGCAGGAGCTGATCATGAAGCTGCTCCAGCAGGGCTCAGGCTCCGGGGTGGGATCAGGCTGGGGCACTGGGGCCCTCAACAAGCCAGGGGCCAAGGGCCTCAGTCTGCTGGACATGCAGGAGGCAGAGAGGCTTCTTAAACAGCAGCAGAGAGCCCAGCAGCAGCAGAGAGAACGTGTAAGTAGTTACTAAAAGACCTACACACACTCACACACAGAAGATGGCAAAATAGCAAACGTAATAGCATAGACACATGTACAGTGTTCTTCAGAATTTATGGGATCACCCAAGTTCACTCTGCCTAAGAAAGCCTACTCAAATAGCAAGAGAGGGACTGTGTGACCACAAATGGGGAAAAATGAGACGGTGCTGACACTCCCACAGAGCACTCACATTGAGTGGCAGTGGAAATGCTTGTAGATACAATGCATTAGTGTATTACATTTATGCTTTCTGTTGGTTTCCTATCCACTCTGTTCTAGTATTGATGTTCCGTCTCCTTTCTCTCAACTCAGCACCAAGGCCTGTCCATGGGGGGTTCCTCCATGGGTCAGTGGGGGGACGGAGGTGCTGTCCCGGGGGGCCTGTGGGGAGGCGGAGGGGGGATGGAGGGTAAGGCTGGGGGCGGCGGAGGCATGGGTCTGTGGGACGAGGCGGTGAAGAACCAGACCAGAAGCAGCAGCATGCAAGGTCTGAAGAACAGCCGCAGCAGCCCCTCACTCAGGTACTGACAACACACACACTGAGTATACGAAACATTAAGAACACCTGCTCTTTCCATGACATAGACTGACCAGGTGAATTCAGGTGGAAGCTATGATCCTTAATTGATGTCACTTGCTAAATCCACTTCAATCAGTGTAGATGAAGGGGAGAAGACAGGAAGGATTTATAAGCCTTGAGACATGGATTGTGTATGTGGGCCATTCAGAGGGTGAATGGACAAGACAAAATATTTAAGTGCCTTTGAACGGGGTATGATAGTAGGTGCCAGGCGCACTGGTTTGAGTGTGTCAAGAACTGCAAAGACGCTGGGTTTTCCCCCATGCTCACCAGTTTCCTGTTTGTATCAAGAATGGTCCACCACCCAAAGGACATCCAGCCAACTTGACACAACTGTGGGGAGCATTGGAGTCAACATGGGCCAGCATCCCTGTGGAATGCTTTTGACATCTTGTAGAGTCTATGCCCTGACGAATGGAGGCTGTTCTGAGTTCAAAAGGGAGTGACACTCGATTCCTAATGTCTTCCTACTGTTTGGTATACTCAGTGTATCTCTCTCTCTCTCTCTCTCTCTCTCTCTCTCTCTCTCTCTCTCTCTCTCTCTCTCTCTCTCTCTCTCTCTCTCTCTCTCTCTCTCTCTCTCTCTCTCTCTCTCTCTCTCTCTCTCTCTCTCATGTCTTTGCTATGTGTACCCTGTATACTAGCTACATATTAGTCATTAGGTGTGTGGGTTTTGAGTGTAAAACTCTTTCACTCACCTGTTCCTATGAACAGTAAATTGTCTATGTGTGTTTACATATAGGGCTGCTCAGTGGAGATTCTCTATTGAAGATGCTTTTTAGTCCAAACTTAATCTGTGTCCGGGGAATCAGCCCTTAATGTGTGAAGTGTGTATTTAACCTATACCTCTTTGCCTCCCACTGCAGTGAGCAGTACATGTTGAGTGTGTGTCTAGGTATGTGTCTGTGTATGTTTAAATGTTAAACCTCTCTCCCTTTCTGTGTCTTTGTATCTCTCCGTCTCCTCCCTCCCTGTAGTGAGCAGTATATGCTGAGCTGTAGGAAGCAGCGTACGGATGAGGAGGACAAGCTGCTGAAGCTGCTGCAGGGCATCAAGACGCCTCAGGATGGGTTCACCACCTGGTGTGAACAGATGCTGCACGCCCTCAACACCCAAGCCAACAACACCTCCTCTCCACTGGACGGTAGTCAATGCTGTTTGTCCGAGTTCCTCTCTCTGGATGTTAACTCACTTCCTTCTCCACACCTCCTGTCCCTATTCAAGTATCAATAGTTCAGCGCTCCTCTTATATCACTCAATCCCCCACCCTGGGCCCGGTTTCCCGATTTAGCGATGGAACGTAGGTTTAGGAGTGTTTTTAACGATGCATCATAAAAATAACGTCCGAAGACGTCACACGCTGTTTTCCCAAAATGCCATGCAGTGCACTTGTTACAAAGTGAATCTTAACTGTGTCGTTACAGGAGCTGTCCCGTGCTGAAAATGATCCCAGAATATAGGCTAAAGAGCTCACTGTAGCTCTTATGGCTTTTCAAAGTCGATTTTGTTACACAATACAGTTTTCCCATCGAGAGATGAAATGTTCTGTAGCCTATTGTGTTTTAATACGTTCGCCATAATACAATCATAAGTGTGTTCTCATGCTATTTTGTATGCAATATTTATGTAAAGTCTGCGTTTCTTCAGTATGTGTAAACTATAGAAAATATCAACGTGACCTAAAAATTTGGATGACACCGGTTTTCGTAATTGCTCAACAAATCATTGTAGCCTAATGGCAGGCAGGAATTGAGCTTTAAGTAGGCCTACAGATATTCTACAATTAAATTATTAAACCAATAAAAATTATTACAATAATTAAACATGAAGTAGCAAGTTAAGCGACATTGCCGTATACCTAATATGTTGACCTTTAGGTTATTGGTTAGGCTACAGTGAAATTATAATCGTTTTGGCCTAAAAGATACGTATATTTAAGCGGCTCAATGGCCAAATGGTTTAATACTAGGTAGGTCTATCGATTGCACATACATGAAAGTGATGTCAATATTTAGCCTAATAATCTAGCTATAATATAATTTGGTTCTCTCGGTTTTCCTAAAAAAAAAGGCATCCTTGCTTCGCTTGTTTATAATATTGCAAACTTTTTAGGCTATTTATGTTGAGAACTATGACGTTTTCGGTGGTCACAGAGAGACAGATAAACATTTTCATTCTATGTTTAGCAGAGATTTTCTGTGTGTAAAGTGACGCAGGAGGGCAAACAGTGATCTAAAGATGCACTTAGCTGTTCTATAAGTGGTCTGAGGCAGGTGTTAGATTACGAGTGATTTTAAGTGCAACATTAATAAAGACAGTTTTGGGAAACGGCTCAGAAATGTAAAGATGCTCTTCCATCGGTTCTAACGATTAACTTAGCCTTAAGATCAATGTTCCCTCAAAAAATGTTTGGCACTGAGCAAATTTCAGGTCTGCTGAGCGCAAACTTTGTGAAAATTCTGTGCAACTTCCAGCGCACGTTTACTGTGAACAATGAGGCTGTACCCACTTTAAGTTACAGTTTAAACAGTGGTCAAGTAGGCTACTGTAGCTATTTGATCATAATGTAGGCCTACCAGAGTGGCCTACCATCACAAACAATGGAGAAAATGTATCCCATAACATTCTAACATGGAAATAGCTATTCTATCATTCAGCCTACAGTAGCAGCCAATGTGTGGTGTTCAATGTAGACCTACATTCATGACACTTTTGAAAAAGACATGCAGGGCTTGACATTAACTTATTTATCCTCTTGCCCTTCAGAGAAGGAGTTGCCTGAAAATGTGTTTGACGCAACAAACCACTTTGCAAATATAATGCATTATTATTCCCATACCATTATTACAGTTAATCAAGCAAATTATGCTACCCTCTCCCTATTGGCTACTAAGCTTATTCAAGCCTGTCTCAAAATACCACACTGCCTCTTTTTAAGACAAAAAAATGCTCTTTACCTGACTTGCTTTTCAAAGAAGTCTAGAAATGTACACGTTTTGTGCTCTTGTAGGAAGTAATCACTCCCCTATTGCTGATTACAAATGATCTATAACTGAGCTAATAACTCACTAACTAGCAAAGGATATTAACTACATGTGCACACGTGTACATGCAGCTCTTGCTTTGATCTCAAAACAAGTGCATCCACTCACGACCGTTCATGCTGTAAACACAGTCCAGTTCAAAGTAAATGGCGCAGATCCATATATGGCAATGGCCTATTTGCATTTAGGCCTACTGCAGCTCTGATTGGTTGTGCCGCACCGGTCTGTGTAGAGCGTGTCAATGCAACAGAATCCTACTCTGATGCGTTCTGCCTACAACAGAATCTCTTGCGTAGTTTGTTTTGTTTCGTTATGTTGCATTAAAAGTGGCTAATATTGCATTGATTCGATCACAATTGCCACAGTAAAGGGAAACGTTGATAGTGTTTACTAATCTCGTGCTTCTCTCCGTGAGCTGATACTGTATTTCTCGCTGCACACCCGCGGAGCTTAGAAGGATTATTGCTTAAGATGTTTTGCGAAACCGGGCCCTTGTCTATAACCTCGTTAAGTTTTTCCTCCCGATCTTTCCAGATTTGAGGCTTTCCATTCCTTCTCTCTTTCTATCGGTCTTTCTTGTCCCCATGGTATCTATGCTTATCTTATCACCATGTGTATGTCCAGTGTCCACCATCGTGGCGTACCTGAAGGAGGTGGAGTCTCCCTACGAGGTCCATGACTTTATCCGCTCTTACCTGGGAGACACCATGGAAGCCAAAGAGTTTGCCAAGCACTTCCTGGAGCGCCGTGCCAAACAGAAACAGAACCTGCAAAGGCAGCAGCAGCAGGTACGTACTGTGTGTGTGTGTGTGTGCGCGTGAACTTCTAGCTTTGAGGATGCCTTCGTTCATATAATGATCTGCCGCTCGCCCTGTCCTCTCGTCTTCACCCAGCTATCAAAGGAAGTAGCAGGGCTGACCATGAACAACTTCCCTCTGCCGGTAAGACCTGTTTCTCACAAGTGTCTCTGCTATGCGTGACACACACATTAGTGGATCCCTCGTAACTCCTCCTCTCCTCCCCTCTGTCTCCAGGACTCCATGCGGGGGGTGAGCCCCAGCACCCTGCAGTCCATGTTCCAGGCGGCCCAGATGGGGAAGGGAGGTCTGTACGACACCCAGGGGGGCATGAAGAAGAAGAAACAGCCTGTGATGCTGCACTCTGACCCCAGCATCTTAGGTAGGACTGGCCTCTTCAGCCTATTGACACCTGTTACATAGTGTACTTATTACTTCCATACGTGTACCTGAATATGACCTGTGACCACTCAACTCCGGGAAACTGCATACCTGATGGATGTTCTCATTGGCTGCTGGGAGGCTGGTCATAGCTCTTTGTCATAACTGATTTAACTGCTCTATGCCTTCCTGAAATTGCCCCTCTCCTCTTGCATCCACCTCTACCCCCTCCTTTTCTCTTTCTCTCCCCCGTTTATTTTTCTTTCCCTCCATCTCTCTCCCGTCCTGACTCCAGGGTACTCATACCACAACGCGGGCGAGCGTCTGAGCCTGAATGAGATGGAGATGGTGGAGGATTACTGATCCAGATCTGATCAGCAGCAGCGGCAATAGCTACTACCTGAGGCCTTCTGTCTACTAATCAGACAAACCTGATGACGAATGTGCACTGCTAGAGGGGAGAGGGAGAGGGATAGGGGGACAGAGAGGGGGGGGGGGGGGGAGAAAGAGAGAGGGGGGGGTGGGGGGAGAGAGGGAAGGGGGATAGGGGGGAGAACTCGTATAGGGAGAGGGAGGAGAGGATTGTGTTCTACCTCCCTCCCCTAGAAAAGAGAATGGCTCCCCTGCTTTCAATCGTTCACTTGAGTAGAGGGAGCGATGTTGTCGGGGGAAAAGGAATGATGGGTATCCCTTGGCACTTATAAGACTAAGCACCTTAAACTGAACTAATGCACTTTATTATTAAGAGGGGATTTGAATAGGATTTTTGTTTGATGCTTTTTGTATGAACACAGAATCAGTGTACGTACGGTGTGTGTATTGAATCAACACAAGATGCCGTACGTATACATGTGAAAATCTGAACTGGAAGGGTGAGGTGAGGTGTATGTTTGGGATAGATTCCCTGGGAGGGGGAACTCAAAGATAGAGGGGACCTTTATTTTGAAACCTTATCAGAAAAACAAATCCTTTCTTGAAAGACAAACACTGTTGATGCTTTTTTTTTTTTTTTTTTTTTATAAATAAGATTTATATGAAAAGTAAAGCTATTACAAAAAAATTGATTAAAAAAAACTTGAAGATTTGCACTTAAAAAAGAAAGATAAAAAAAAATAGAAAAACAAATGGGGTTAGAGATGAATATTTTTGTGTGTGAGTGATTGAGTGAATGTGTGCATTAGAAACATAGTAGTCTGCACAATGTCTTATTTTTTATTTGTTTTCAATTGCTTACCAAGATGTATGAACACATACCAGGCCATTGTCATTTTGTTCAAATAAGAATTTTTGTATTTTCATGAGTAGAATGTGTCCTCTTGTACAGAGGGACTTTCTTTGTATCTGCTTGTGTGTGTGTGAGACGGAGAGAGAGGGCAATCGCACAACACATCCGTTCTCTCACCAGCTCTTCATCCCCAGATAAACGTGATAGAAGTACATACATTTGTAGAGGAGGATTATGGCTTTGTGCTCCTTCATATGTTGTTAACCACCACTCGTTTCTGGGGTGTTTTGGGGTACGGGCTGATGGAGCTGTAACCCTCCCCGCTGTCTTCTCTCAGAATCGGCCTCTGAGCCTCTGCGGTTTCAAACAGACAGTCATGATTTAGTGTGTGTGTATGGTGGTTTGTGTGTGTGTTTGGTTGGTTGTTTGTGTGTGTATGCATGCACATTTGTGCCTAAGAACTCTGAAAGGGTGAATGGGATGGAGGGAATGTTCAATGGCCATTGAGACATTAACTACTTTTTGAGAGAGAGTGTTGTTGTGTTATGGTTTTGTATTATGTTAAGCGCTCTGTACAGTATGTATGTCAATCATATATCCTAATGTTTCAGGTTTAGTCTGGGGATGATGATTCATTGGAAGGTTAGTCCAGTTTAGTTTTCCTGGGATGTGATCATGTTGCCTTGTCAGCTCTCTTTAACTTGTGTGTGAAAGGTGTGGGGTTTCAGATTCTGCTCAAAACAATTAGCGTCAAACTGTCCACGTACAGGATGGTGCACAAAATGTTAGCATATTCTTGTTACTTATTCATTATTGTTGCTATTGATGATGTTTCTTTTTTATGAATATAAATGAAAATGCATATATGAATAATCAAAGTAAAAAAAAACAAAAAAAAAGTATTTGGACTAAGATTATGATGAGCACTTGGGGCTGCTATTTTTTGTTTGTTGATTATTATTTTTTTAAATCCCTTAATTTTTTGTTGTTGCATTACCGCCATGTGAAGTGCGTTTGTTATTTCTTTCTTAAGAAAACATTGAATGTATTCCCAAAAAAATGACAAAAAAGCAAAACATCTAAGAGATTGAAGAGGTCGGCGAGTTCTTTACTCTTTTCTTTTTAACACAAAGGAGGAAGAACTCAGGAAGGTTAAAGTTGAACACACTGCCTCTGCAATCCAACAATATTACTATGAAAAAATTAAGAACAGACTATTCCTTACTGGAGTTTTGGTTGTTTACAAAACACATGGATTTCTGTGGGTGCATTTTTTTGTGTGGGTTGGAGTGGATAGTGGGTAAGGACAGGGTTTTGCAAGTGCGCTTCTGCAATATGGACATTCGGTGGCGTACGTTGTTTTGGCAGGAAGGAGGAGTGACGTCACAATGTGACCCTTTAGTGGGCGTGGCTCTTTGGAACTGACTGATCATCAAGGAGTGCGAAAAATCTAAGATTGTCTATTTTTTTATTTTATTTTTTCTGTACTGTCTGTATTTGAACTAGACAAGGACTAAATGTTTCTGTTCGTGGAGTAGAAAGCTTCATCAAAAAGCAGAGCACAGTAGAGGAGTTTTTGGTACTTAGAACATGCATAAAGGAAACAACAATATCATTGCTTTAATACAAAACAAAGTCTCCTGGAGTAAATTTGTTTTGCTCCGTAAACATGTAAACGAAACAAAGATGGACAAACCTGTGAGGAGTTGTTGAGAATAAAGGAAATGTAAGAAGATTTAGTAAAACTGTACATACACATGACATTGACCTCAAATCTACCATTGCATTCAATTGGACCGTGTGCAGGCAGAATTCTTTTTTGTTTTTTGTTTAAAAGGGGGCTCAGGGTGTGCAGTGGGGGTATTTTAACCCTGCGATGAGGGAAAATGAAAGGATACTAGAACTGATCTCTGGGGGACACCCCTCAGCCCTCGTCATCACTCACACCCTGCCCTGACACTCTCACTATGCACTTTGGTTCATTCAAACTGTGAGGTGCCATCACATTTGGAACAGGAGCACAGAAATATTGTAGTACAGAGGGAGGTTTGGGAAAGAAAATATGTAACTTTGACTGAGTTTAGTTGATACCGTCTCACTGAAAACAAGTGATTCGAAACAAAAGACTGAGGAACACGCCTTCTTCCTCCTGTACATAACCATATTTTTGTATTAGGCCTAACTTGAAAGAAAATCACTTGGACAAAACTACAAGGCTTGTTATACAAACGAACAGAAGAAGGAAATTCATGAGACATTGATTTACAGAGTGAATATTCCTCAAGGAATATATATATACTGTGGTAAATTTAATTACCTGGAAGTTCCCCAAACTTTGCCAGTAGCCCTGTCTGTCTTCAGGGATGGGGAAAGAAAGGAGTTAACATGGATGGAGCTGGGGACTGCAGGAATTCCCAAGATTGAATGATGATCGCTGCTGCAGATCCCAGCCCAGAGTGTTTTGACCAACGGGCACCAACCAATGTAGAAGGCAGGGGAGAGACAGTCAGGCGGATGTACCGGGGGACCTGCTGCCCAGATGCCCCCCCCCCTCCACCTTCTGTCACCTAGCCACTGCCTGGAGATCAACCACGAGCTGACCGCAAGAAGACAACCATCATATGGGTAAGAGTGTATCTATCTATTTTAATGTTTATATTAGTGAATCTATGGACTGTAATGTTGGTAACTATGTCTTTATTTAAGTTCTGTTTTCAGTATTGTGTCATTTGGAGATCTTCATTCCTCTCCTCTCTCTCCCCTATTATTCTCGATCCACCAACTCCCCATTAATTATAGCTCTCTATCCCCCATCCTTATCCAATATTATTCTAGCTAAAACAACATACACCCAATTCTAGTCTCGCTCTATAAAACCTCCTCTCTCCCCTATCATTCTCGCTCCCCCCCCTCCCCCATCATTCTCGCTCTCTCTCGCTCTCTCTCCCCCCTCCTCTCTCCCCTATCATTCTCGCTCCCCCCCCTCCCCCATCATTCTCGCTCTCTCTCCCCCATCATTCTCGCTCGCTCTCATTCCACAGGGTTCTCACTGTACCTAGCTTCCCTCTGCTAGAAAAGAAATGGAGATGGAGAAGATCATTAACCCTTTCTTCTTCCACTCCTCTCTGCGCCCCTGGTGGTGAAAGAGCAGGAAGCACATCAGCTGCAGTAGCAGAGGACCTGGAACAGTGGAGAAAATGACCACACACACTTAGAGCTTTACACACAGTACATGTCCATGCAGCATTCTCAAATAGACTCTCTTTTCAAGAACCACATTCATGGACATAACTAAAGAGCCTTTGTTATTCCACATTCATGCACGGCACGTTCACACACACAAAAGCAGAAAGGCTCAATACCACACACTTGAGTTCTGACTGCTATGTAAATAATATACAAGTATTTTGTTTTCTTCTGTTTTTTTTGTTCAACATGCCTTAACTGTAAATATCTGCCTTTGTATGGCAAACTCTAAAACATATCTAAACAGTAAGAGAGCAAGCCAGTTGGAGAACATCATAAGGACTATAGCATTTGAAAGGGGGGGGGGTCAATGTTCTACTTACCGGACAACGTCTTACTGGCTAACAATACTGTTGTATGTTACGTTATTTCTGTCCAGCATCTATCGCAACAAAGTAGAACTGAAGGCAATCCCTGACAACAATGATTAAGATGATGATGATGGTTTGGCTTTTTTCAAAGCAAGAGGGACTGTTCAGAGATCCAGTTTTAAATGCCTAGACATGTAGCTGAATGTGCAGGCTGAGGAATGAGGAGTCTGGAGCCTGTGTAGTATGGAGCTGAGCTGACCAGGAAGGGTGTGTTAAATAAATGAATATGTCCCCTTACAGTTACACACACACACAGTGCCCTGCTACATGCTACTATGTACCCCATCACTAGTAATGTTTTGACAAAGGATTTTGACACAATGATTTTGACAGTTTGTGACTTGATTTGAAAGATGTTAAATAACTATTTTATCCTGGTGAGGACCACACTTTTTAAAAATGAAGCATTTTTTTTCTTATTTTGGCTCTATACTCCACAAGTTTTGATTTAGAAATGACAACACTCATTTTATACATTGTCACCCCCATTTCAGGGGACCAGAAGTAGTGGGACAAATTCA